TTGGTACAAGAATGATTTTAGTTTAAATTCAAATTTTAGTTAGATATATATTAATTTTTCAAAAGTAGTATAGTCTTATCATTTTTTTTTTCGGTTCAAATTCAAATTTTGGTTTTGGAATATAAGAAAAATGAATCTAGTCATGTTTCACATTACCGAGAGTTTTGTGTGAAGATCCAATATTTTATGGATTCTTTCATCTTTTCAATTTGGATTCCTATGATCATTGATTTGGTGAGGTAGTCTTATTTACCATAGGATGAGCCACATTTCGTCTATTTGGGTCTCGTTGGCATTTTCGATGTGCTTTCGCGCTTGAGCCGCAAAGTTTAGGTCGTCTTCAGGTGACATTTGTATTGATTTAGCTCGATCAATAGTAGTCGTTGATCTTATTCTTTCTCGGGGCTACGTTCCCATTTATTTTGAACTTTATTTTGTTTTTGGCATTATCCTCGTCTCCCTTTCGCATGGTTTAGTTTTCGAGGATATGTTTTAATTCGCCGGCGTAGTTCCTAAGGCTATGTTTTTTAGCCTCAGACTCTTGATTCCGGCGTTGTGTATGTTGTCCGCCAGTCTATGGCTCAGTGTGTGACTTATGCTTTATAATTTTTCTCGGTTTTAGTATTATATCCAAATGAAAAATGGTCATGTTTCACATTGACTGCCAAAGCACTCATTGCACAGCTTCAAGTCTTCAATAGCAATATAAATAATGTTATTGTGTTAGCAAAGCAAAAGATGGATGCGAAAATTTGATGAGTGGGTAAAATTTGGAAATTATAGATAATACAAGGACCTTCGAACAGAATTTTAACAAAGGTTTGTGTCACTTTTCTTGCCTCGTTTTGAAGCATCGGACCAAAAGAAATGGTGAAAATCATGTCATCGTCTGAAAAAAACATTTGATTGCGATTTCTTCGAGCTATGGCGTCTACGATGGCAATATGTACGCCGAGCTCTCTCCAGCTCAGGCTTGCCCTTAATTATGGATTTATGAGCTTCACCTCCAATGAGAGCAAAATGGTGAAGCTCAGTCTTCATGCTCTGGTGGGACTCTTCAACCTATAGAAGAGACAAGGGAACGATTCTTTCTTTGGAGTGGAAAGCGATAAAAATTCACATGCTCTTGGTAAACTCTCAGGAGTTCATTTCAGATGAAGAAAGTGTGGACTCC